CCTAGTGTCCTAGACTTACACATGTATTAGTAATTACACAATTACAGTTGGTTTCAGCAAACGTTTGAAGCTAGAGTTTCGAACTTTATTGTTTATTAGTAATGATATCATTTGATATCAATATGATGCCATTAATAGTTCATAAGTTTAATTTATGTATCTTTATATAGTGCAACTATACATTTCTTTACAAATGGCAAACCTTTGCTCTCAGTACAACGTTAGTATACAAGTTGTGTAAAATTACTTAATTATCAGTCCATAAACCGCTTGTACTTAGTTTGATTCTGAAAATGCCAAAAACGGCATTGATTCCCAAGCTACAAAATTTCAAAATGTTCCTGAGGACCATGCCCCAGACCCCCTAGGGAGCGGGGTCTATGAACCCGCGACGATGGTTTACCTGTTGAGAGAAAACACTTTTACCTGTTGTACTCACATTTGTGCAGAACCCTGCTTCCAGGTTAATGACATCTTTTCCTTTGCAGTGACGTGCAGGCGCAGTGTGAGAAGGATGTTGGCATGTTAGATGAGGTCTCCAGTATCGGCCCAAGTTGTACCGGTGGTTTGGGCATACTGTCATAGAGCGTATTTCTTCTCTTGATATTTCATGTAAAAATTCCGCTCTTCTCGAAAACAGCTCGCGCTCGCTAAAACCAGATCTCGACAAACGGCAACTTGAAAGATGGTTTTGAATGTTCTCATCACAATCTTCTAAGCGTCTAATACCCGATTCACCCCGACACCCTCCGCATACAGTTGAACCGATAACATTACTCTCAAATTTTGCAGCCATATAATTCAAAGATCAACTTCGCAGAAAGGTTCCAGAACTAAACTTCGCACATTTATAGACTTTTCGAACTAAGCAATAGTTTAGTATGCTGCAACGCAAACTCTAAATATAGCATGTGTCACATATACTGTAGAAGTTGCGCTGCATGCGGGCTTTTCCCCGAGTAGCATATTAATTTGGTTACATTAACTGTGATTATTATGATTTGGTCAAGTTGTTTATTTTAACATGCCTATTATTTTAAATCCCTTGGAACGACTTACGGTGGACATAAAGAAATATAGATTAGTACAATAGTGCTATAAACTTATTTGAAGGAAAGGTTATTTGACAGAACTACAGCGCATTTTTAGCAGTGACATGAACTCAGACGTCTGACCTCAGCAACATTCAAATGTAAACAAAAGGCCATAAATAAGTATCAAATTTTAAACGCTCTCAATTGTTCAAATCGCGTTTGCAGACCAGTTTTATTACGGTTTTTAGTACTGCAAAGTGTCCTTTTTCCAACTATACTAGTCACTGTATGTAATTAGGTCCCACTTTTAAGAAATTCAACGTAGAAAATAGTAGGATTTGAAAGCCGTATCTTGACATGGTGCTCTTTGTCGCTAAATATTGTCACAAATGCTCTGTAATTGAAAACCTAAGTTAGTTTAGATGAAATTATGATAGTTTTCTGGTGCTGGGTGTGAATATCAGAAATTTTGAACAAAAACTTTTGAAATTATGTTTAATTAAATTCAGCCCATTTTTTCGTTTAATTAGCCGGCGAATTTTTCCCGCGACGGTGCGAGACCAAAAAATCACTAAAACTTTGAAACTAAATATATTTTCAAAATTCCAAACAGCATTTGTTTGTTGTTAAAGTAAATGTAGTTCACGGTAAAAGTTTCGAAGAAATTTATTTTTCGAGCCTCAAGTCAGTGGGCGGTTTTTAGAGACGCACACTCTTAAGCTTCGCTCGCTTCTCCTTTAGGTCGTTGTCCCAGTACTGGGCGTTTCACTTGTGGTACATCCTTAGTGTACAATGAAGGCTTTCTACTCTCTACTCTCTTGTAAACAAAGAGGATATCCTTAGCGGCATCCCACTTGTTAGATTTAGATGAATTCTTCAGCAGTCATTGTTGTTCTTTTCAATGCCTATAAATAATGAATAATGTACACTGGTAAAATACATGTATTGATCACTTCATCAGTACACAGTATACAGTAAATAAAGTAGTGTTTGTCATTACTCACCTTGCCCTGTGAATTTCTTGATACCACTGTGCAACTCATATGCCACCAACATGTTAACTTACCTTCCAGAGATTGACTGATCGCATTCTTGCTCGAGTCTGCCTTAATAACACCTAATTTTTCTGGAAGGTATTTTAACAGGAGCTTTTTGAAGGTATTTTATCAGGCTGGTGAAATCATATGTTCCACTTCCTCCCCGGTCTACCTTTTGTTTCTCCCTCCCAAACCTTAAAACACACTCCACAGTTGTTAACTGCAGTGATAAGTGCTTCAAGGTGCATATCTGCTCTTTCTCCAGGCCGTCTGTTAAAGTTATCTTCTTTATCCCAGTTTATTGCTGCTGTTACAAGGTTTTTGGTAAGGATATCTGTGAACATGTAAGTAAAATGTAAATAATATTATTCAGTATTTTCACTAAATCCCATAATGCAATGCACTGGGGTACCAAAACAATCAAAATGGTATCAATGTGGTACCCCAGCAGTTACCAAGCCCTTAGAAAACTATACAGGCACATAGCATATTTATGGGTTCATTTGTGTTCCTTTTGCAACATCTGGGGTTCTGGTGATAGCCAATAGACTGTTCAAATCATTTTTACACTGTTTCACCAAATAAGAGCGAGGTAAATCTGCCCTCCTTTGGTCATGTTAAATTTGTGATATGCCACCTCCCCAATGTAGAAACTATTTGTGATGTAGAGTACCTGTTGCACTTTCTCTTGTATCCATCCAGTTCTGAAATTTTCTCAAAATACTTCCACAAGCTGGCATTCTCCTTTTCAAGCCGAAGATTTCATGGCCAAAAGTAAGATTGAAACTTGCTGAAATTACAGAAATAGAACGCGATATACATCCTTGATAGCACATGGAAGTGCAGTTGAAAATGAAGCGATTTAACAAGTGAAATATAAAAGGTTCTGATCCCAGCAGTTACCAAGCCCTTAGAAAACTATACAGGCACATAGCATATTTATCACTTATTTACTGAGACCGAGGGAAACAGTGTGTTTTGTGGACCCGAGGGTCCACAAAACACACTGCTTTCCCGAGGTCTCAGTAAATAAGTGTTTTATTATATATCAATAGTCAAAGAAACAACAAATTAAAGAACAAATGAACGTAAATAGATGAAATACTTTATTGTTAAAACGTTAAATTTAATAAACACAGTTGCTTAAAACAGTTAAAAGCAAAAGTTTATAAAGTGATCAAATGTTTAATAAAAAGCATCCAATTTATTTGAAAAAGTAAACAACACTCTAAACAACAGTCATTAACAGTCATTCAAGGATAGAGAAACTACTTGCCATTAAAATTAAAGGTTACATTGCAATTATTGAATGCACCACTTGCAAATGTGACATTCTTAAGAGTGTTTGTTTGTGTTGCGTGAAGAACCGGTGAGCCAGGCAACAAATGACCTGGTAGAGGAGAGAAGCATATTGTATCCAATGCATTTTCGTACTGGCTGGACGTCAGTTCTAGCCGGGTTTCTGAAGGCGAAGACAAGGTTGTCTCTTCAATTTCAGAAGGAAATCCACACGCCTGACCAAGTGTTTCGGAAATTTCTCTTTGCTTGTTTTCTGAAAGGCGACGTGAGTAACTTCTGATGCTCGCTTCTGATTTATGACCAGAAACTCGCATTATGTGCCTGGCTTCGAAGTTGGAGTGGTCTAGGACGGTTACAGCCGTCGCTCGTATGCTGTGGTTTGTGTACTCTTTGGGCAGGTCGGCTGCTCTTGAAATGTCTTTCATGAAGTTGCCAAGGGTATTCTTTCCGACCGGTACGTTACAGTACCAGCAGTTGTCAGCTGTTGCTTCCTTCGGTCGTTGCCAAAGGCATTTTAACTCGGGATGAAGCTTCGAAAGATACAACTCAAATGACTTGACTGGACATAGTGCACCCGGTTGCTCGTACATTCTTCCATCTGTTGTGGAATCTTGGGGGTCGTCATTTTCCCGATGATTTTTATCGAGCTCGTCGACAGCCTGGTAAACGTATCTTCTATTCTGCGAGTCAACAGCTACCGCGAACGTGTCTTTAGTTTGTTCTCGCAAGTTTTCTCGTCCCCTTCTGACCAGATGAAACATTATATCAAACATACATTTTTGCTGCAGTCCTTTAGTTAGGAGTGTTTAAATCGAAGCTTAAGTACAGCTTTTGTAAGTCGTCCTTCGTAATTTCTGGATGGTGGTTAACTTTAGCCATGCCATTTCATTTCAGTTCAACGAGTAATGCAGAAAATACTTTGTTTGACGAACCGAAGGATACGTCCTCCACGATGTTTACTTTCTTTTCATTCATTAAATATCGTGCAAGCCCATATCGTATTGAGTTCATAGTGCTTTTACTGTACAGTGTTCCATCTTTTTTTCTGGCATTAGCATAAAAATGTCTGAGTAGGTTGTCAAGTTCTACTTTGTTTATATTTTCAAACTCCGTAGGAAGTTCTTTTTCGGCACAATATTCTCTTAGTATTTTCACAGCTTGTTTAGTTGCCTTTTTTGTTGACTTTGAGTCCTTGTCTGCCAGCATTGACTCGATATCGACGTCATTTTTGCTGGCAAACCTTTCCATATTCGCTTTTTACAAATAAGTTGAAAATACGAAAATATAAAAATAGCTAACAAATCGCGCGCTTTTAGGCATGGTCAAAGGTCGCATCTTCACATGATGGCGCACGTGATTTTTTTTGTTATTCGCCGGTCGATAATATATTATCTCCCTCTCGTGCTGTTGCGAGGGAGACGGTCTAATTTCGTCACTCACACGTGATACGCTCTCGACCAATAAAACACTAGAAAAATGCGACTTTGACTATTGATATATAATAATACATTTTATACACACACTTTTCCATGTCACATTTTATATACACACACTTTTCCATGATAAACACCAACAAGTATAACTTTAGGGGGAATGATTATAATAAACAACAGATTATGAGGGGTACCACGGGATAACGGATCCGCATTCCAGTCCGGACTCCATTACCCACAATCCAGTCCTTAGTATGTATCTTGATCGACTGATGCCACAAAAAGACCGGATTTATGTACCTGGACTCATGAAATTTTGGATGGGAGACGGGAGTATGGATCCGTTTTTCCGAAAAAAAATGTAATTGCACACCCTGTTTAAAATACGTTTCTCGATGCGCTGATCATTTCTATATAGGTCACAAATGACATTTTGAAAAAAGTTTATACACCAGGGGTGGGCACAAAGTCTACACTTGGGTGGGCAAATTTTTTGAAAAAAAATTTTTTGCTCTATATGGTAGTTCCTATAATTCTAAGCAAGTTTCATTACTATGTCCTTAACTGAATAAGGTTTCCTTCATGGAGAAATCAGCGTTTTAAAAAGCCAAGGTAAAAAAAAGGTAGATCTTTTTATTCTAAACAACTTTTACTTATTTATTTATTTTTTTAATAATATGAATTATGTACTATTTACAACTTGAAAGAATGTTTCTGCTATATTTACAAATTTAAGATCATTACATAACTATTGAAGCAAGTCCGGGTTGCGGTTTACTAGTGTGTGCACCCTGTTCTTTAACTGGTCTTTCGTGTGCGGCCGTCTTCAGGGTATCGTCATGTGAATGATGCATGTACCCTGGCCCAGTTTATTCTTTGCTGGCCTCGAGGACTTCGATTGTCCCTGGCTATCAAAATTAGCATGTTATCCATCTGTTCTGCCGATGGGTTCGGGTTTTGGTTTGGGTTGCGGTTTACTACGGGGTTGTTGATTACGACATCATTTATGTTCATCGCTGCAGGTGGTGGAGGAGGTCGTCATGGTGGATTCGGTAGTGGTGCCGGTAGGTTGTTTCGCCACCAAGGGTCGAACAATCCGACCACGGTGTGGTAACCGGCATGCCTGTATCCTAGTAGTAGCTTCAGATCACCAAAGATCTTCCTTTCTGCATCCGTCAGCAGCCTGGAGACGTGGTGCCTCATGACGCCTTCGCAGGTGAGGATTGCCCTTGCCAGTCCAAAAATCCTTGTTGCCTTCCCTATGTAAATTGGAACCGAGACAGTGTAGTACTCCATGTTCACACCGTAAAACTCCAGTGTGAAGGCGTTTGGGCGAAGGACCATGGAGATGGCATCTTCCAGGTGATTGTGGCGAACACCCAACTCTACACGTATTGCCCCAACGTGTTCCTGGTTGGTGGTCAGCACATGGAGGATCGAGGTAAACCGTTCAAGTCTTCGAGCAGCTTGCCTTGTGTTGTTTGGGGCAGGGAGAGGAAAGGGATTACAGGCTCTGAGGAGGTGGCACATGACGTTGTACATCTTCAGGGCTTGTGGTGCAATAATACTGTCTTCCATTGTTAGGGTAATGTTGCCGCCAAGGTTGTGGAAGGGCTGGAAGGATAGAGTTGTTAGGACAGGTAAAGGTCAACGGTAACATTTTGGGGCACTGGTGGTAATGCCTTGGCCATGTACAAATACTCTGTTCTCCTGGAGAATGAAACGTCCTATTCAGGGTAGCCTTCATCAGCAGCGTCACATTGCACGAGGTCCCTTGGGAGATCTGGGAAGCTGGCAATGGCTTGCTTCATTCCAAAGTTAGTCACACAGATGTATGGAACGGCGGAGTTTACCAACGCTTCTACGAAAGTCACTGTTGGGATGGGTTTAGGGTGCCCAATAACCATATGACGTGCACCTGCAGCGGAAGGGAGGACAACATGGCCTTTCGTGCAGAAGTAATTGCACATTTCTTCCTTGACTTGTTGGGAGTTGATGGTTAGGGTTATGACAGGGTTATGGGTTAGGGTCATATAATCCCATGCCTCCTGGTGCCAGTTTCTGCCTCTGGAGGTTGACAGCATGACGGTATTGCCGGCGAATTGTATCAGTGTCGATAGTGTTCGTGGGTCGTTGGTCTGCAGGTTCACCGCGAACATATCAATGTCGAGCATTTCACAGGTTATGGGACGGTAGATTCCCCCAGGTGTCTGGTCTGGAGCCCTAAGATTATTTGACATTTTGCCAAGTATATTATGATCTTTTTCAGTTTGATGTTCTATTAAGGAAAAATAAGAATTTTTAGAATTTTTTTAAAATTTTTTTAAAATTTTTTTTTTTAGAGTTCATTTATAAAAGAAAACAATATTTTAGGATTTTTAAAGATTTTTAGGAATTTTTCCCCCCGATTTTTTTCGAATTTCATCCAGTTTTTATTAAGAGGTCAGAGGTGGAATTTTTAATATCAAATTACATGAAATTGGATATGCATAATTCATGACCTTTTAAGTTCGTTTTGTAATAAAAAAACCATTCCATTAGCGACTCTGGTTACTTAAAAGCATATATAAATGAAAAATTATTACAAACTTACATTCTACCAAACCGTAGTTACGTACTTCCGGTTAACATGAGATGCACGCTGTGTGTTGTGCCATGAGTCAGTACAAGTTGTGTAGCTGTGAGACGAAGACGTTTACTTACTTGGTTGACCATTTATAATTGGACGCGAGTGTTGGGAACTTTTTCAGGTAATTATTTTCCAATTTATTTGCTTTATTTGTGTTCATGCTTCAGGTTGTTTAGGTATTTATCGAATCGATGAATTTGGGAAAGAAAGTTTTAGTTTCCCATTGCAAAATCTATAAAAGGAAAGAAAGTTATAGTTTCCCTGCGTCTATCTACCACATTTGAGGCTTTATTTGCCACTTGAAGGGAAGAAAGTTATAGTTCCTTGTAGACGAGTACCAATGAAGCGTGACAAATACGCCATACTATACATGGTGAATATTAATTCATTTCAGCTGTGAATATGACTGACCAAACAAACACGGAACAATCTGTTGATTTGACCACAGATAATACGACTGATTTAAAAGAGTCGATGGCTTCAATGATGTCTGAAATTACGTCGGTCATGAAAGACGATATGCTCAGACAGTTTGAGGAGTACTTTGCCGCTCCCGACCTTAGGCAAACACTGGCGATGTTGAGGCAAATAGTGATCAACCCTCACCCGATGTGTCGGATGCCATCGAAAATTATCTACAGACTCCAGACCCTAATTCGACATCGAGTGCATTTGACGAGTTAGCTGCTGAATTTTCTACCACAGACAAAACGGGACCAGCAATTGACGACAAACTGGCTAATCCCCGAGCCGGCGGCGCGAAGCGCCGTGCGAGGGTACTAATTCCCCCCGGCTATTTACACCCGGGGAAACGAAAGCATTAGGGAAGTCTGAAGTTCATCAAATATCGCGGGCGTGGGTCACTGTGCGTGTTTCGGTGGGTGGTCATCTTCACTGATCTCAAAAATATGGCGGACTGTCATGAATAGCGAACACTGATTGGTCAAATTTAAAATTTGTTGTTGTACGACGAATGACGACTTCAACTGACAGATACTTCATGAAAATATTTTGCTTTTTGCACTGCAATATTTTGTACGTTTGCAAAACACTTTGACAGCTTTCAAAGCAATTTGTTCTATAAAAAGTTTAATAAAACAATTACGGTATCAAATACCAATTGAAAAGATATCGACTACTGTATGGAGCCAAATGAAGAGCTGCAAGGAAACGACAAGAAAGCCGAACGTCTAGCGAAAAGGAGGGAGCTAGCGAAGACGACAACGTTTGCTCGAGGAGACTGCTGAGGAAAGAGAAGCTCGCCTGGGAAAGCGTAGAGAAGCATGGAAAAAAAGACTGCTGAAGCGAAAGGTAAGCAAAGGCTTGTCTTCACAACGCTATGTACCAATGATACTGTAGCTATATATACAAGTTGAAGTATGATATTCGACCCTCTATATTCAACTATTTCTTCACAATTTTCCAATAAAGAGTTTGTCATGACACGCTCAAGTCAGTATAACCAGACTGTATTTTATTTATATCAGTTATCACAGCCACAGGCAATTTTATGCTGTCAAATACCGTCGGTTGCAACTAACGGTGAACAGTTGCAGATTAAACATTCTCTATTCTCATTAAAAAGCCTGTAAAAGTTTCCAGTAGGTCTCTAGCCCAACACGTTCAGACCACACAAAGTTTTGTTACTTATTATTGTACACATGGTGACATGGGAAACAACAATTAGGTGTTGTTGTTCTTGACAAACATTGAAGATTCTAATCACGCGAATGTTTTTATGAGCAACTGTTCATCGTTAGTCGCAAGCGACGGTACAAACATTTTTCCGACTGTGACCGAATGTGCAACGATATATTTTTCAAAGTTGTTATCAATTCCTAAAATTTGTTTATAGTAAAACGGCCTGCTCAGCACTCACTACTCACGATGATTTCATTTGGAAATGCAGTTACCAGGAAAGGAACTGATTCTAAAATATGTAAATTTAAAAGCATTGGCTAACAGAATAAAGCGATGTGAAGACAAGGTACAAACTTTTATAGTTGCTATTTGTTATAAAATCCTATACATAAACCGATTCAACAATAATATTGCCTCGAATTTGCATATTCTATGCCGCATGTTTATATTTTATTTTTATAGTATAAAAATAAAATTGTAATACTATGAAATAAAATACATTTCTATTTATTGACCAGTACTTATTTAATGTCTTCTTCATCCAGTGGTCAGAGTAAATTTCTACTTCTAGCAAGTAAATATTTGACAAGCAGTCTGGAATAAGCACAGGAATAAGCACAATGAGCCATTTTATAGTAGCAATATGAAAAGTTTTTTTCTTAAAAGTAAAGCACATCCCGGGGGTTGGGTATTTCCACTCGAACCTTAGCCCCGGCGGGGCATTTGAAATTAATAATTTCGATTCTTGCACTTCACTTGGTGGAATTAATATTAGAATGTTAGGGTTTGTAATCCAAGTGAGAATATATACATGTATATATTTTGTAATCCAAGTGAGAATATTTTGTAATCCAAGTGAGAATATACAAATGTATAGTACATGTATATATTTTGTGTATATATTTTGTAATCCAAATGAGAATAGTTTGTAATCCAAGTGGGAATATACAAATGTATATATTCTCACTTGGATTACAAACCCTAACATTCTAATATTAATTCCACCAAGTGAAGTGCAAGAATCCAAATTATTGAAGTCCACCTTATCACAACCCGCACACCCGATAACCTAAATATACATGAACTTACGGTTCAAGCTCAACAGCTGGCCTCGGTAGCTCAGTTGGTTAGATTGCTGCACCGGAATCGCAGGGCCGTAGGTTCAATTCCTACCAGAGGACCTTGTGCTGCATTTTTCGCAGTCGTTCCTGGTTAGGTCTTAAAATGTATATATTCTCACTTGGATTACAAACCCTAACATTCTAATATTAATTCCACCAAGTGAAGTGCAAGAATCCAAATTATTGAAGTCCACCTTATCACAACCCGCACACCCGATTACCTAAATATACATGAACTTACGGTTAAAGCTCAACAGCTGGCCTCTGTAGCTCAGTTGGTTAGAGCGCTGCACCGGAATCGCAGGGCCGTAGGTTCAATTCCTACCAGAGGACCTTGTGCTGCATTTTTCGCAGTCGTTCCTTGTTAGGTCTTAAAATGTATATATATTCTCATTTGGATTACAAACCCTAACATTCTAATATTAATTCCACCAAGTGAAGTGCAAGAATCCAAATTATTGAAGTCCACCTTATCACAACCCGCACACCCGATTACCTAAATATACATGAACTTACGGTTAAAGCTCAAGAGCTGGCCTCTGTAGCTCAGTTGGTTAGAGCGCTGCACCGGAATTGCAGGGCCGTAGGTTCAATTCCTACCAGAGGACCTTGTGCTGCATTTTTCGCAGTCGTTCCTTGTTAGGTCTAAAAATGTATATATTCTCACTTGGATTACAAACCCTAACATTCTAATATTAATTCCAGCAAGTGAAGTGCAAGAATCCAAATTATTGAAGTCCACCTTATCACAACCCGCACACCCGATTACCTAAATATACATGAACTTACGGTTAAAGCTCAGCAGCTGGCCTCTGTAGCTCAGTTGGTTAGAGCGCTTCACCGGAATCGCAGGGCCGTAGGTTCAATTCCTACCAGAGGACCTTGTGCTGCATTTTTCGCAGTCGTTCCTGGTTAGGTCTTAAAATGTATATAT